AATCCGACTCCATTGACATTCTATTGAGCCGTGTCATGCTCTGCTCAAGAACACGTCGTACTTTTGCATTGTCTTCTTCAACTTTGCTTACTCTGTTTTTCCATTCCGCTGCAACCTTTTCGGCATGCAATAGTTTGGATGTGACGTCTTCCTTTTCTTTATTCGATGACTCTAACCGCTCATCAGCATCCTTCAGCAACAATACAATAGCATCAGCCCAACATCGATATGGCAGGTCATATGTAGTTAACAAATGAAAAGGATTATATATATACCTACTTTCAAACGAGCATAAAGCTTCATCAACTCGTCTTTAGCCACCGCAAGCTCTCTTTCAAAATGCTCCTACAAGATGAATTAGATCTCATCAATAAATGAGTGTAAGAAAAAAAAACGAAGATTTTGAATTTCCTTATAGTACCAACCTTAGCTTCGATTTCGGCGTAGTACTGGCCAAGAGCGGTTTGAAGATTTAGAAGTTCAACATTCTTGGACTCAATTGTTCTCAAACAATTTGTAAGTTTTTGATTTAAGTCGTCATTTGTTTCCTGTAACTTCCGGATTTGTTTGTCATTGCTCAGCCTGCTATCCTCCTGATTAGCCATTGCCTGCTTAAGAGTTTTCTCCAAGTGTGATATCTGAGACCTTTGATATTCATTAGTCTGGCGGAATTCTTCAATCATTCGGCTATCTTCATCCATTTTCTCAGACTCTTCAGTTTCCTGCAAAATTGTGGCAAAGAAAACATAAATCCATTACCTACTTCTCAGAAAAACATGAAGAAAACTTTGTTTATAATGAAATCATAGCAAAACTTAAGTACTGCTATAAAGTAGCGATAATTTGCAGAAATTGATCAAAAGACTAATAATATGAATATCATTCATGTGCAAAATAAAGAATTATATGTAAAATTTGCTTTCACAATAGCTAACCTTTTCAAGCAAGTGTTGTTTGAGCCGTTTTAGTTCTTGTCGTGTTTTATCCCTGTCTCTCTGTGTTTCCTTCAAATCCGTTTCCAACTTCTGCAAGGATTGCTCCATTTCATCTTTTCCAGGAAAGCTTTCAGGTTTCTCCTAGTTAAATACTAGCATAAGGAACTATAGATACTTGCTCCATAATTCATTTAAATTGCAAAATGTGTATAAAGTCTCTCTGGTGTAAGAACCTTGTCCAAACTACTAGGATGTCCAGTCAGAATCTCTGTGGCGTCTGGAAAGACTTTGCTACTGGTGGGCCTCCTGCTTTCTTCCAAAGCAGCTTCTAGCTCAGTTCGTTTCAACTATATAGTGATGAAAAAGCAGATCAGAATCAGTTTCAGAGTCCATAAGTCAAAGTAGACACACACATACAGTGTGAGAATGACAATTGTTTGCTCACAAAATTATTCAGCAGCATGGAACACAATAAACCTTAAGCTCGTTGTTTTCTTTCTCCAGAGCTTTGTTAACTTCTTTTAGATGTTCCATGGCAGTTCCAACATCGTGGCTCTCCTGACCAGTCAACTTCATCTGCAAGTGTTTGATTTCAAGCAATTTTGCATGCAATTCACTTCGCACTTTGCTAATCTCCAAAGAAGTCTGTAAACAGATGGATACAGAAAATAAACAAAATTGTAACTTAAAGATGGTTATTCCTATACGAATATAGGAAATGTAAGTCTTTTCTAACTCAAAGGCTTACTTTTTTCTTATCTAACCTCAGAGACTCGAGTTCCTCCTTGAAAGATTCACTCCGTTTCCACTCCTCTGAAGAAAACAAGGTAAGTGAGAATACTAGATTAAGAAGAAACATAAAAGCACCATGCTACTAGTGATATTATATACCCTGTAGAGAAACCTGGAGATCTCTTAACTTTTCACGCTCTTTGGCAAGCTCTTTAGCTTGCACAGCTACCAGTGATTTGTAGAAAAAAAAAGTTATTTATGAGGTGTATTGTTGTTTCTCGCTACTCATTTGTTTTTAAGAAAAAACTTGCATTTATTTTCTACAAACCTCCGTAACACGCCATTTTAGTGGTAAGCTACACTCAGTGATTCACTTTCATCCATTGAATACTACTCAACAATCATCTTCCCCATTATTCTGTTCCTTTCGTTCAATTTCTCAATTTGGTAAAATAAAAGAAGACACTACGACCAATTTTATTTTTAAAAGAGTATGACAAGTCACCCACAGACCACACTTGCCACGTCACCGCTGTCCCGACCAAAAGAGGCTTCCCCTTTACGATACCCTTCCATTTCCCCGTGACACAAGTCGCAACCAAAGACGTGTAGATTTGCATTTCGAGAACCACTGAAAACGTCTCTCTCTTAAGAATCTTCTGGAAAGAGAATTGCATAAGTGATAGCAACAGAGAATAGAGTGCGGATGCAGCGAGGGTACGCACAAACCCGATAATGTATTTCGACCTAGAGGGAGCGTCTGCATTATCATCGTTGTTGAAACCTATCAAAGTAGAAGGGAAGGAGAGGAGAACAACAGAGTTGAGAATCAAAGCAGTGAACTTCTGAGAGTTGATGAAATACGAGAAGACCGCATTGAAAGCCAATTGAGTAGCGCAAATGAGCGAATAAGTCGATGCAGAGAGGTAAGCAAGTCCAACAGAGTATAACATGTTGTCACCAGCAATGATGACACCGAGCAAAACGTAGATCAAGACAATGACTTTGATGGAACAAGAAGCAAAAGCGGAATGTAGAGGATAGGAAAAGCAGCGGTTTGAACAAAGAGTAGCCATCCATTTGCTGTTTCCACCTTCGTTGTAGTAAAACCTACCAAGAAGGTGTTGGAGCAAATTGAACCGGAAATAAAGAAGCAAACCGAAAATAAATTAGTTTGAGTTGTTTGGTTAAGTATTGGGTTAAGTTTCTGTTTTAATCTTAGCAAAAGGACCGAGTCTCGGGACTTAGTTTTAGACTGAGTCTTATGGAGTTTGAGTTTTCTTGTTTAAGCTTGCAGTAGATGTAGGAGATTCAGTTCTTGTAAGGCTATATAAAGCCATCGATTATCTTGAGAATAAAGTACGTTTTCCAGAGTCAAATATCTATAGCACTGTTTATCTCTTCAAAGTGGTATTAGAACTCGAAAATCTTTGACCTAGAAAACACAGAGAAGCCGCAGCTTCAAAATCCAAAGT